GAGATTCATCATTACTATTCCTCTCTTCAAGTATCCTCACTACATGGCCGACTCTCTCTGACCAGCTCTCTGACCAGCGCTCTGACCGCACCACTACTCAGGTGACCCATTGCCTCTGCTCCCTAGGAACTCATTCCAGACATTTTAACATCTTGAACAGGTAAGAAAAGAATGCCGGCCCGAAGGTGTCAGTGACCACCATGGATTCCTGACACCAGAACCACAAATCCAAAGGCCCCAATAAGTCCACTTATAGTATTTGTATTGCTGGCTTTGTCCCCACAGCAAAGAACCCCCCCTTACTTCCTGTGCCAGTGATAAGCAATTCAATCTGAAGGTTAATCTACTTCTATTTTGATTCCTCCCCTCCCCCCTCATCAACATGCTAATGAAATTAAAAAATAAAGCATTTCCATTTTCATTACATACTTCATCCGAGTCTTGGTGATGTCATCACTGGGTCTCTGTGCTCTTCTATGGCAATGCAGGCAGATCATTGGCATTGCTCTTGCACTGGTGTGAAGTTTTGACTTTATACCCCAATCTGAAGGTTGTTGACCCCGCAGTGCGCATGTGCAGCAGGTTATTTTCCCCATGTGTTGCGCGGTAGGGGTTATTGACACATGGCAGGCGAACATGCGCTGCCGTCCATTGCAAACGATGCAATAGAACTTCGTCTCATTCCTTTACAGAGCACCGATGCAGCACAATGACACGAAGCGTCACCATCCCGTCCATGCATTGGGGTGAGCTGGTCAATGTAGAGTGAGCAAGCCCTGAACCGGCGTTCTCGCAGGTGCGCTCTGCTCGCTTCCGACGCCGTCCAAAGTGACTCCGAGCTGGATACATGGTTCCGAAAATCCCATAGAAGAGCCGAGTGATTGTCTGGCTCTCCAGCTGATACAATGTATAATATAAAGGAGACATTGTACGGGGACGGGAGACATTGTACGGAGACATTGTACGGAGACATTGTGCGGAAACGGGAGACATTGTACGGAGACATTGTACGGAGACCGGAGACATTGTAGGGAGACATTGTACGGAGACCGGAGACATTGTAGGGAGACATTGTACGGAGAAGGGAGACATTGTACGGAGACATTGTACGGAGACATTGTACGGAGACATTGTAGGTAGACGGGAGACATTGTACGGAGACGGGAGACATTGTACGGAGACATTGTACGGAGACATTGTACGGAGACGGGAGACAATGTACGGAGACGGGAGACATTGTACGGAGACGGGAGACATTGTGGCACTCACCGGACGCTCTGCAGAGGTTTCTCGGGTCCCAGAAGGTGGCAGAGGACGAGGCGGACGGAGCAGCACCTGGAAGACTGTCTCTGGTCACTGGTGCAGCAAGTTTCTGAGGACAGGCGGGGAGCAGGAGGGGGAGCTGGGAGGCGCGGACTCAACAGATCAGTTTACACTTGTCAGGTATCTGCCCCACGCACACCGCTGAGAAGAAAAGAATTTCAGAACTCATTGTGATCATCGGCGCGCACTCATTACAAGCCGGGATTAGAGGGAATTCCCAAATCATTTTATATCAGACGAGGATATGATCAGCTTCAAATCATCTCACCGACATTTGTGGAAGTGGATGCAGCACAGCGGAGTTCTGTCCGATACTTCTCATCTTTGCCGTAACTTCTGTTATCAGGACAATCTTTCAGGGATTCTTTGCAGTCCAAGCAGCGCCGGTACATAAAGGATTAGTAAACATTATAAGAGGGCTGATTGGACCGAGAAGAAGAGGGTAGACCTCCCGAAAGATTGTCCCTAAAATGGAACTTAGTGCAAAGATATAATGTATCAAAGAGAGAACTCAACTGCAAACTGTTGGCGCTATAATAATATACTGTGTTGCTGCGA